AAAAAAAAAAAGTTGAGAGCCTCCACCCAGCTGCGAAGGTTAACGTTCACATCCGCAACCTCATCACCTGATTCAGCACCATCCTAGCTTCGGTCGGGCCGACAGTCACAGCTCTACCCTCCGCGCTTCGCGACCGCTAGCGTGTGAGCACGACCTCACTCGGAGCTTCCGCCGACAGGGATCGAGCGAGTCGGGCGTGTTGCTCGGAGGGGTCGCCGCCATGCTTCCCTCGAAGCCGCAGCACTTCAAGACGGCGCTCGTCTCGGTGTCGTCCCTCTACGTTGCAGGCTGGGGCATCTATTATCTCGCGCAGGAGACGATACGAAGGCGCGAGCTGGCCGCACGCAAGCGAAAGTATCCGCTCAGAGCGCCGCTGCTGCCTCCGCATGCCATCTCCTCGGGCGTCCGTGTCGCGGAGCGCGTGGGCGTGCTCGCTCACACGGACTCGAAGCGCAACGCAAAACCGCTATCAAGCTCCAGTACCAACGACGCTGCCGAAGCGAAACATGCGCAAGAGATTCTGAGGCAAAATGGGACGAATGCCGACAGCGATGCTTCTGACTCGGATAGCCTGAACGAGCCGACGGCTCGCGGTCCATCGTGGTACGGCGGTGCGACTGACTCGGAGATCACGCGCATTCACCACCGCTTCTCCTCTCTCAAAGTGCTCGGACGCTACGCCAACGTCGTTCCCGAATGGCGCGAGCAGGGCGCTTGGGAGTGGGCGTTTTGGAAACTTCTCTACAGCGTCTTTTACAAACCACGCATCTGGTGGGATGGAGGCTTCAAGGCGGACAACAAGAGCGACGAAGGCAGGCAGAAGATCGAGATGCTGCTGCCGGTCGAGCGCATCAAGTGGGCGGAACTTTTTGCTTCAGCTGCTGATGCGTCCAAAGCGAGCACGGCGGAAGTGGCGGCAGCGCCTGCCGTCCGAAACGCAGCTCAGTCGTCCTTCACGTGGATCGGCCAGTCGACCTGTCTAATCCAGATGCAAGGCGTCACCATCCTCACCGATCCGGTCTTTGGCGAACAGCCCGTGGAGAGTCTGTTCAGTCCTACACGCATGCGACCCATGCCGTGCAGCATCAAGGAGCTCGTCGCCAATGCGGCCATCGACGTAGTGCTGCTCACGCACAACCACTTTGACCATCTGGACATCAGCGCGCTCCCGCTCATCCCGAAACGCACGCAGTTCGTGGTACCCGTCGGGCTTACCTCGCTTCTCACCCAGTACGGCGTCGAGGCGGAGCGCATCGTGGAGCTCGACTGGTGGCAGCAATCGCGGCTGCCGCTTACCATCCGTGTCGCGCCCAAGGCAGAGCAATCCGGGCACGGCCACGTTGCTGAGCGACGACGCGTGCTTGACGTCACCGCGGTGCCTGCGAGTCACTGGAGCGCCAGGACGCCGCTCGACACCAACACAACGCTGTGGAACTCGTACGCCGTCCGCGTTCACAGCGAGGGTGACAAGCGCGCATCCGCTCCAGGCTCGACACCCGAGGCCCAGTCGCTCTTCTTCTGCGGCGACACGGGCTACTCGCCGTCGCTCTTCACCGCAATCGGTCGCGCACTTGGACCGTTCGACTTTGCATGCCTGCCCATCGGCTCGTATGAGCCGCGCTGGCATATGCAGATCCAGCACATGCACGTCACCGAGTCGGTGCAGGTGACACGCGACATTGGCAGCAAGCGCGCCTTCGCCATGCACTGGGGCACCTGGCAGATGAGCGACGAACGATGGGACGACCCCTACTGGCAGCTTCACAAAGAGCTCCGAGCCACCTCACCCGACGACCCCAATCGCCTCCTCGCCGTGCCCTTCGGAAGGACTTTCTGGCTTTAGCATCGTCACAAAGTCAACTCACTTGTTCTGTATACACCATCATAGACTTACCGCCTTTCCAACGCGCTGTACAATACGATAGACACTCGATGCACACATAGACGTCCACGTCAGAGGGTCTGTCAGATGCGAGGACCTCGACATCGCCATGTTGATGGGGTCGAATGTCGGTATGTGTGTCTCCTCTTGGCCTAACATCGGTAGCCCTGGCGTCAACACAGGTCGCAGCGAGCCGTATCGACTCAGTCAAGGGAGCCCGGAGATAGGATGGCGGACAGTCGGCGCTGCACAAGGGCTAAGTTAACGACCAGGGCGGCATGAGAGAGACGCCTGGAGTTGGTCGGACGATTCAAGTCCGACCGGGCTGGCAAGCCACACACTGCGACCCGAGTGGGCTGTGCATGATCGAGTTGGGCTCGGAATTGGGACAGACGCCGAAGCTCGCAGTAGACTTTCTCATGCGATCGAGATAAGCGAGACGTAGCGACCAATGAGGGCAACTTGGGGTCGAGCGACCGTGCCTGGCAACACAGCCGACAAAGACCCTTGGTCTGCACCCGCTACGTCTGGCTGAGCTCAGCACTGTGGCGTATCTGCAATAGGCGGGATGGCAAAGATGCGATCACCAGACGCCGTTGCCGTTTCTACGTCCAAGCAAAGTCGGCTGCGCAAACCCCAAAGAGTAGCGCGTGTCGACAGTATGTCGATTCGCATTACCAACGGCCGGCTCCGAGCTCGCGTTCCGAACCGAGTCGAGTAGCTCCCCGCAGTATAGTAGCTTTGTAGGGCGGGAAAGGCGGCCAGGCTCCTAAGCGTCCATGCGAATGCTGCCTCTGCTCCGGTTCCGAGATTGACACGGAGGCGGGCGGCGCCTGGGTGGCACGTTGATGCCCCGAGGCGGCCTTGCTCGGCAAGCCAAAGACTGGAGCGGAGGATGCCTTGGCCTGTCGCACGCCCGAGACGGGACGCGAGACAGCGCCGCTCGGCTGATCCCGTGTGTGGATTCCCGGTGCACCAGCAGCGCTTGTAGGGGGGAAAGCAAGCGCCCTCTGATCCTCGTGCGTCGACGCGCATTGCATGGAGCAGACCAACAGCATGCAAGCCATTCATATCTTGGCCGACCTCATCAAAGGCGAGCCTCGTGTTGCAAGCGCTTTGCAAACGGTGCCGGCTCGGAAAATCCGGCGCCGCCAAGCTGGACCATTTGCATATTCGTGGCTGGCTCGGCTGTGGACCGAGCTGCTGATGCAAATTCATCCCGCCCCCACTGCCGCCGCAACTGGCGATGCAGATGGCTCAGATACGAAGCGAGACGACCAAGTGACGTCCCATTGCTCGCTGTGGGATCTTCGACTTTGCCACCTTGACGCAGCTCGCTTCTACCTGGGTGCATGACGGCGTGTGTGCGGCCACGGGCTTCCGCAGGTCGCGGCATGAAATAGAGCCTAGAGATTGATTGAGCTCCGTTGGAGCTTCATGCGTGTCGACTGCAACCGACATGCATTTTCACGTCTATTCCAGTCCATTCCGTCGACCTGTAAGCAGGTCCTGGCGGGGTGGGAGGGCAGAATCGCGAGCGAGCTCATGCTCAAGCGGCAGAAGAACCTTGCTGAAAGCGTCGTCGACTCGCCATGCCGGCTCCGGTCTGCGTGTGAGAGAGGAGAGCCTGCCTGCCTGCGCGGCATCTGCGCAACGAAAACTCATGCAGGGCGCTCCTGCAATTCTGCATAAGCCCTTCCCCCAAAGGCGAAAGAAGACAACAATTTCTCCGTCCTCGGAGAGCCATGCACGCCGGGTCGCGGCGCAGCAGAAGAGACTGCCAAACAAGACTGTGTAAAAATTCGGGTCGGAAGCCATATTATACTACTGGGAGACGGCGGGCGACCACGATCATGCATGCCCATCGCCTCGCTTGTCAATCGATCTTGCGCTGGCAATCTGGCACCATCTGGCATCAGACCCTTCCACCTTCCTCGAGCCTGAGCGACCCCCACTTTGCCGCTTCCACTGGTTGCCTTTTGGTGCGTAGCGAATCAGGCGATCCCATAGTCCGGTAGCTCGAATGGCCCGCGATGAGGCTATCCGAGGCGAGCAGCTGCACTTTGCCTTTTTTTTTTCTCAGGCCTCCTCATCGCACTTGCATCTCCGCACCTAAGCGAGCCGGGGCTTCGTGCTTCGCTGGAGTCGGCGGGGCGAATGAGGCACTGCCAGTCTCTCTTTCGCTCTCTCTCTCTCTCTCTCTCTCTCTC